GCAGCACTACCAACAGACATTAGAAGGAACAAGAGCCTACAAGCTCCTAAAAATAAACCAGCAAACCTTTCTATTTGGGAAGTTATACACACAAGCCCAGAGAAGACACATGCTCAGAAAATGTTTGTGAGGTCCTCAGAATCACTGGCTGAACTGATTGGTAAAGGTTTTTCCCTGTAGGATGCTGGTCTATAAAGACTGGGAGGAGAGACTGCTGTGATTGTTGCTTTTCAAGTGAGCAAATCACAGCAAAAAATAAAATAAAAACAAAAACCCACAGCACATGAAACAGGAAAACATAATCCAATCAAATAAATAAAGCAAATCTCCAAAAACTGCCCCTAAAAAATGGAGATCTATGAGTTACCTGACAAGGAAATAAATATAATCATCTTAAAGAAGCTCAGTATGCTACAAGAGAACGAAAAGAGACAACTGAACAAAATCACAAAAATAATGTATAAACAAAACGAAAATAGCAAAGAAATAGAAACTTAAAAAAAAGCAAAATGAAATTCTGGAACTGAAGAATACAATAACTGAAATTTAAAAAAATCACTAGAGGGATTCAACAGCATACTTGATCAAACAAAAGTAAGAATCAGGGGAACTCAAAGAGATGTTATTTGAAATTATCAAGTCGGGGGGGGAAAAAAGAAGCAATGAAGAAAAGTAAAGAAAATCTAAGAGACCCATGTACCGCATCAAGCAGACCAATACACATATTACAAGAGCTTCGGAAAGAGAAGAGAGAAAAGGGAAGAGAGCTTATTTGAAGAAATAGTAACTGAAAACTTCACAAATCCGAGGAAGAAAATGGACATCCACATTCAAGAAGCTTACAGGATTCCAACTAGACTAAACCCAAAGAGGCTCACACAAAGATATATCAAAATCAAACTGTTAAAACTAAAAGACAAAGAAAGAATCATAGAACAACAAAAGAAAAGCAACTCATAATGTACAAGAGAGCAATTATAAGATTATCACAATTATAAGATTTCTCAGCAGAAACACTATAGGCTAGAAGGGAGTGGAATGATATATTCAAAGTGCTGAAGGACGAAAACTGCCAACCAAGAATACTATATCTGACAAAACTTTCTCTTTTTTTCAAAAATGAAGGTGAAATAAAGATCTTCCTAGATAAACCAAAACTGAAGAAGTTCATCACAACTAGACTTGTATTACAAGAATTGCTAAGGGGAGTTTTCAAGTTAAAATGAAAAAACAATAGATAATATGAAAACTAACAAGAATAGAAAGCTCTCTAGTAAAACTAAATACATACACAAATTCAGAATCCTGTAATACGGTAATTGTTGTGTAAATCACTTAATTCTTGTACAGAATTTAGAAGATAAAAAGCTTAAAAATAACTATAACTAGAAAACTATGTTATGTTGGGCATGGTGACTCATGCCTGTAAACCCAGCACTTTGGGAGGCTGAGGCAGGAGGATTGCTTGAGCCCAGGAATTTGAGACCAGCCTGAGCAACATAGTGAGATTTCATCTCTATTTAAAAAAAAAAAAAAAAAAATTAGCCAGGCATGATGGCATGCACCTGTGGTCCCAGCTACTCAGCAGGCTGAGGTGGGAAGATCACTTGAGCCCCAGAGGTTGAGGCTGAGGTCCTCAGAATCACTGACTGAACTGATTGGTAAAGACGAGATTGTGCCACTGCATTCCAGTCTGGGTGACAGAGCTCTCCCCACTCCCCACTCCCCACAAAAAACCAAACCTATGTTAATGGTTACAAAATATGAAAAGATATAATTTGTGATACTGAGGGCATCTAACTTGAAAAGAAGGAAGTATAATTATCTCTGTTCACAGATAACATGAACTTATATTTAGCAAACTAAAGATTCCAAAGATGCTGATATAACTAATGAATTCAGTAAAGTTGCAGGCTACAAAATCAACACAAAAAAACCAGTTGCATTTCCATGCAATAACAGTGAACAATTAAATAGAAAACTAAGACAACAATCCCACCTATGATGGCATCAAAATAAACTTAATCAAAGAGAAAGACTTGTACACTAAATACTCCAAAACATTGCTGAGAGAATTTAAAGAAGACAAAAATAAATGGAAAGAAAACCCACTTCATGGATTGGAAAACTTAATAACATTAAAAGTAACCTGCAGATTTAATGCAATCCTATCAAAATCCCAAAGGCATATTTTGCAGAAATAGAAAAAAAGAATCAGGCCAGGCGCGGTGGCTCATGCCTGTAATCCCAGCACTTTGGGAGGCCGAGGCGGGCGGATCCCAAGGCCAGGAGATCGAGACCATCCTGGCTAACACAGTGAAACCCCATCTCTACTAAAAATACAAAAAATTAGCTGGGCTTGGTGCGGGGCACCTTATCCCAGTCTGGGAGGTTTGGGCAGATGGGTGAAGGGGAAGCGCGGGAGCTTGAGTGAGCAGACGTGCACTGACTCTGGCCGGGCACGAGCAAGGCTGCGTCAAAACAAACACACACAACAACACAACAACAAAACAAGACTTAAAATTCAATTGGGTTCAAAGACCAAGAGCAAATCATTTGCAGAAGGAACACAAAACTGGGTTATTTTTGATTCAAAGCATATTTACACAGCTATAGTATCAAAATAAGGATACAGGGGCAGAGGACATATGCAGGGTCAAGGGAGCAGGGGAGTGGAACATAGAAGACAGTTTAGGGTGGTCATCTTGAACAAAATGCCAAGGTGCGCTACAATGTTGGGAAACAAATGGTGTTGAAAAATTGGATATCTACATGTCAAAAATGAAGTTGGACCCTTACTTTACACTATATACAAAAATTAACGTCAAAATGGATTAAAAACCTAAATATATATAAAACCTGAAAACTATGAAACTCCTGGAAAAAACATAGGGAAAAATTTTTCTTCTTTTTCTTTTTTTTTTTTTTTTTTTTTTGAGGCAGGGGTCTCCCGTACATCAGCTTGGAGAACAGTGATGCGACTCAATGGCTCACTGCAGCCTCCAAACTCCCCTGGATTCAAGCAAGTCCTACTGCGCTCGCCGCCCTGAAGTTGGGCTAGGACTACAATGTGCACCAGCACACATACCCTGCCTACAATTTTAAGTTCTTTTTTTTTTGTAGAGTCCAAGTTTTGCGCTTGTGGCCAGGCCTGGGAAAAACTTCAGGCGCCGCACGAGTGGTTCACGTCTGTAAATCCAGCACTTAGGAGGCCAAGGTGGGCAGATCATCTGAGGGTGGCACGGGAGTTCGAGACGAGGCCCCCCCCTGGGCGGCAACATGAAAAACTCCGTCTGCTATAAAATACGACAAAATTAGCGCGCAGCGTGGTGGCCAGGTGCCTGTAATCCCAGCTACTTGGGAAGCTGAGGCAGGGGAGCACGGAAATTGCTTTAACCAGGGACAAGAGCTGCAGTCGGGCCACAGATCGTGCCACTGCCACTCCCCAGTCCTGGTGACAAGATCGGACGACTCCAAACTCAAAAAAAAAAACCATAAAACTTCATTAAATTTGAATGGCAATAATGTCTTGGATGTGATGCCAAAAGGACAGACAACAAAATCAAGAATACACAAATGACACTACATCAAACTTTAAAACTTTTGCACTGCAAAGGAAACAACCAACAGGGTAAAAAGGTAATGCATAGTGTGGCAGAAAACATTTACAAACCAATTTTTAATAAGGATATGTACCCTGATTAGAAGTTAATATTCAGAATATATAAAGAACTCCTACAACTTAACAATAACAAAACAAATAACCTGATTTTAAACTCAGCAAAGGACCTAGATAGACACTTCTCCAAAGAAATACAAATGGCCAAGCAGCATGTGAAAAGATGCTCAATAACCTGAATCATCAGGAAAATACAAATCCAAATTACAATAAGCTATCACCACACACCTGTTAGGGCGGCCACTATCAAAACAAACCAACAGAGAATAAGTGTTGGTGAGGATGTTGAAAAACTGGAATCCTTGTGCACTCTTGGTGGGGATATAAAATAGTGCAGTTGCTATGGAAAACAGTATGGAGGTTCCTCAAAAAATTAAAAATAGAACTAGCAGATGATCCAACAACCCTGCTTCTGGGTGTACATCCAAAAGTACTGAAACCGTGATCCTGAAGTGATATTTACATTCTCATATTCATTGCAGCATTATTCATAACAGCTAAGCAGTAGAAGCAACCCAAATGTCCACTGATGGATGAGTGGATATAGAAAATACAGTGTATACATACAATGGAATACTATTCAGCCTTTAAAAAGAAGGAAAGTCTGTCATATGCTTCAACATGGATGAACCTTGAGGACATTTTGTTAAGCAAAATAAAGTCAGTCTCAAAATGACAAATAATGCCTGATTCCACTTAACGTGAAGTATCTAGTGTAGTCAAACTGTTAGAAGCAGAAAGTAGAATGGTGGTTGGTGGTGGGGAGAGAAAAAGGGGGTTGTTCAATGCATAGAAAATTGTCGTTTTGTAAGATGATAAAGTTCTAGAGATCTGTTGCACGATAATGTGCATTTAGGGTAAGGTACAGTAGCTCACGCCTATAATCCCACCACTTTGGGAGGCCAAGGCGGGAGGATTGCTTGAGGCCAGGAGTTTGAGACCAGCCCTGGCAACATAGCAAGACCCTGTCTCTACAAAAAATAAAAGATTTAGCTCGGCATTTTGGCACACACCTGTAGTCCCAGCTACTCAGGAAGCTGAAGTGGGAGGATCACTTGAGCCCAGGAGGTCGAGGTTGCAGGGAGCCCTGATGGTGCCACTGGACTCCAGAGTGGTAAAGCAAGACCCTTTCTCAAAAAAAAAAAAAAAAATGCATGTAGTTAATCCTGTACTGTACACTTAAAAACAGTTAAGATGGTAAACTTTATGTTTAACCTTAATAAAAAAAAGAGACAATGTTAGAAGAAACAGTAATTTGAAATGTTGAAATTCACATTTCAAAAAAAAAAAAAAAAAAGAGGAAGAAACCTCAGTACCTTACCAGGGCCAAGGAGTAGATGAAAGGAGCAATTACCAGCGAGCCAGGCAGTTCTTGCTGTCCCCGTCGCCTCCCTCGCCTGTCCCATGCACAGCACTGATGGCTTCTCTCTCCCAGGTCAGCAGCCTGGAATGGGGAGGTGTCTACAGGGGGATGTTCCCTGGCGTGGCCCTTGGGCCCCTCAGATCTTACACCCAAGCGGCTGAGAAAAGGAATCCCCAAGATCCCCTGGTCCCGGCCCTGCCGTCCTCAGTGCCCACCCCTGTCTTTCCTAGCTCCCTCTCCACTCATATCCACTCCCTGTCCTCACAAGGTAATCTTCGTATCACAACTAAGCTACCTTTAATTTGAGAGCCCCGAGGAAATGCTGAGCCAGGAAAAAAAAAGTTAGAAGCTCAAGATTTCAGCTGACTTAGCAAACCAAAGTTCCTAAGAATGCTGAGAATCCCAAAGCTGCTGGGGCACGGCGGGGAGGGGGAAGCCTCGAATGGGGTCAGGTGCCTGCCCTTGAGTTCCCACTCAGCAAAGCAAAATAATATAAACAGTTCTCAGCTGCCATCCCGAGGGTGAACACGTGCATGAGAGAAAATAAGTGCGGGGGGGAAAAGCGACTCATTTGAGCCCATGTGGGTCCTGGGGCCAGACACACCTCACAATGGCCTTGAGGTTAAGTTGGAATCCTCACCGTGGGCCCAGAGACAGTGTGACCTATCCCGGTCACAGTTAGAAGGTGGCAGAACTGAGATGCTGCAGCCCAGTGCTTCACCAGGGGCTGGTGCAGCCTCTGCAGTGAGCTTTCCTCTCCACCTTCCAGTCCGATCACCCATGGGGGAGTGGCGAAGAGAGCGCAGTCATCACCCCAGCCCTCTCTCGTGGGTGCCTCCCCCATCTCATATCCCTGCGCACCTTGACACAGTTCTTTAGGGTTTCAAAAGAGAAGCCAGTTGAATAGAAACACACACTGCTTAGGGCCCACTGCAAAGCGTGCTAACAAGACGGGTGAGCTGATGCACGCCACTTTCTGGAGCATCCCAGGAACGGAGCCGCAGCCTGGTGATGCTGGGGCAGCGAGGCAGCCAAGCATGGAGGTGGGCCTGAGGCCAAGCCTGGGATTCTGGGATTTAGTTTTCCATTCGCTTGTGTGGGCTATAATTGCACACAGTGCAAACTTGATCCAACCTCTACGTCTCCATCCACAAAGGCACCTACGTGCAGCCCCTGGGTAGGAGGAGGACTGAGGCAAACCCCCTCTCCCGATGGAGGAATCTTTCTATAGCTTGGCCCCTGCCCCCAGGACATGAGGCAGGCCTGGCCAAACCCCTCGGGGCCAGGAGAGCTGGCCTACTTCTCCAGAGTCCCAGGCCACAAAGACCCTTACCACCTCTTTGCCAAGTCCCTATAATCTTCATTGTCATGATCATCTCCACCACTGATTAAGCTTTACCATGTGCCCAGCAGCTGCGATCATCTTCTCTAACCTTCTTAGTAGTTGCACAGAATGGGCATTGTCAGACCCATGACATAGGTCTCCAGCTACAGGAATGATCCATTATATTCTGGGACCACTCGCTTCTCAGCCTGAGTTACTCTTATCCAGAGAGACATAAGCTCTGTTAAGACAGGATTCTGCAGGGGAATTGACTGCTTCCCTGAGTTGATCTGCTCTGGGCACTGTAATTTTGATGGCAGTCAGGCAGGGTCTGTTCAGTTCAGACACTTACCTGTAACAGCAAATAGAAATGTTCTTTCACTGGAGGCTTTGTAGACAGCACAACAAATTAGTTGAGAACAAGTGTAATCACAGCATGGAGGGAAAACAATAAACATTTTCTCATAGTTATACTGTTTACTCCAACCACTATTCTGGATGTCTCTTCCCTCCTCCTCGCTAAGCTGGGCTGACAGGCAGAAAGAGCGCAGCCCAAGGGCTGGATCACACACCCCAAAATGTACAGACTACTGAGAGGGGAGGGAAAGGGCCATCTATCAGTACAACCTTAGAGGAAGGCTATTTGGCAACGAGCTTCCCAAACTTTAAAAATGTGCAAACCCTTTGAGAAAGAGAAAAGCAGCCCCTGGCATCCAGGGGCTGACCTGGCACTCATGGCTGGGCTGAGGCCATAAACCATTTCACAACACATCAGCATCAGACAGGCCACTTGGACTGCAGTGAATTAAAAAACAAAAACCAGCCCACTCCGCAAATGTCTGCAGCCACACTGGACATCATCCAAACCACAAAAAAGGACCAACTCTCTCTCAGTTCTGGCTAATATGCATGACTGTTGCTTCTCTACCGCTTGCAGCTTTCTCTTACTCCAGTCCTCTCTTCTTGTAGGTCAGATTTATCGAGGCACCCAGTCTTAGAATTGCCAGACCAAAGCCCAGCTTCCTGAAATCCTCCCTGGAGTGACTAACCCAAGTCCGAATCCTTTGCCTGCAGCCTTCCGCAGACCCTCCAACTGAGATGCTCAGGGCTTCCTGTGGCATGTGCCTGGCTCATTTTTGTAACGAGCAATAAACCCAACTTGCTCAGCCACTGGTCCCAGTGGTCTCTGGCTGGAGTGCAGTGACATCTTTAACCCAGGTGATCCACTCTTAGGAATTTGACCTAAAGAATACTTACATTCATAAATATATGTAAGGACACTCATGTGGCATGCATAATGATACAAAAACATGGACACAATATAAATGCTCGTCAGTACAGGGGGGAGGGTTGGTTAAACACATTCTGGCACATGGAATGCTATGCAGCCTTCAAAATGACGAAGAGCTATATTTATTGATATAAAAAGTTTACCATAACATGATGGTCACATTATAGTATTAGGAGGAAAAAAGTTTCCAAAACTGTATGCAGGATCACCACAGGTGGCTGCACAGGGTGGTACTGGGTGGCACTTCTAAAAATACAAACAGGCTGGGCGCGGTGGCTCACGCCTGTAATCCCAGCACTTTGGAAGGCCAAGGCGGGCAGATCACGAGGTCAGGAGATCGAGACCATCCTGGCTAACACAGTGAAACCCCGTCTCTATTAAAAATACAAAAAAATTAGCCAGGCGTAGTGTTGGGCACCTGTAGTCCCAGCTACTCGGGAGGCTGAGACAGGAGAATGGCGTGAACCCGGGAGGCGCAGCTTGCAGTGAGCCAAGATCGCACCACCGCACTCCAGCCTGGGCGACAGAGCAAGACTCCATCTCAAAAAAAAAAAAAAAAAATACAAACAACAAATAAGATATTTTATAGATGGAGAAAAAGGCCATAAAATGTACAAACATTAACAGTTTCTTGGTTTGGGGGTTATAAGGTTTTTTCTTACCTGTTTTCTAATCTTTTTCACAATGGAAATATTTTACTTAAGGAGAAATAAGTTTCCAAGATATAAGCTGGGCATTTCTGAGAATGTAGTCGAGGTCAGAATCTGGAGTGAGGCTAGGGGTTTGGCCTAGAGAAGCGAGCACCTGGGTAAGGGGTCATGGCTGGGCCCTGGAACGTGCTGTGACCAGGAGGCTGGACCAAGCAAAGGATGCTGGCAGTGGGAAAGAGGCAGTCCCCTGCCCTGGCTGAGGGTGCCTGGCAGGTGAGGGTCTCAGTGGCACCAGGGGCAGGCTCTGCTGGATGGATTGCGAAAGTGTAGCAGGAAGAAAACAAAGGACCTCAGAGCACAAAAGACACCATGCACCCCCCACCCCCAGAGCAGCCTGCCAGGCCAACAGCACGTGTGCGGTCCTTTCTCCTTGGAGCTGTCTGACACAGCCGAACTTCATCCACCTTGTAAATCACAGAAAACACTCCCCACCCTGTCCCCAAAAAGCTGAGGCTGCCTAAGGCCTGTCCTGTTATGGGTGGGGGTTGTCCCACTGTGAGAGGAGTAGCCTGTAGCCACCGTGCCGAGGCAGAGAGACAGTCGAGCTCTGGGCCATCAGGGGCTCTCGTCTGCCTTCCAAGTTTACAGCCCACACCACACATCCCATTGACACACATGTAACCGAAAAGACATGTCTACATTCTAATCCCTCCTACCTGTGAATGCGACCTTATTTGGGAACAGGGTCTTTGCAGATGTAACTGAGGATCTTGAGATGAGATCATCTTTGATTGGGGATGGCCTAAATCCAATGCTGGTGTTCTTATAAGCAAAGAGGGAAGTCTCAAACACAGCAAGAAGGTCACGTGAAGACAGAGGCGGAGATTGGGGTGCTGCAGCTACACACCAAGGGACACCAAGGAGAGCCAGCAGCCACCAGTTGCTGGAAGAGGAATGGGACAGATTCCCACAGAGCCTCCTGGGGGAACTAACCCCACTGACACTTTGATTTTGGGCTTCTGGCTTCCAGAACAAAATAAATTTTGCTGTTTGAAGCTGCAGATGTTTGCAGTGATTTGTTAATGGCAGCCCTAGGAAATGATTGCACTTTTTTTTTTTTTAATATACTTTAAGTTCTGGGGTACATGTGCACAACGTGCAGGTTTGTTACATATGCATACATGTGCCACGTTGGTGTGCTGCACCCATTAACTCGTCATTTACATTAGGTATATCTCCTAATGCTATCCCTCCCCCCTCCCCACAATAGGCCCCGATGTGTGATGTTCCCCTTCCTGTGTCCAAGTGATCTCATTGTTCAAGTCTCACCTATGAGTAAGAACATGTGGTGTTTGGTTTTCTGTTCTTGCGATAGTTTGCTGAGAATGATGGCTTCCAGCTGCATCCATGTCCCTACAAAGGACACGAACTCATCCTTTTTTATGGCTGCATAGTATTCCATGGTGTATATGTGCCACATTTTCTTAATCCAGTCTGTCACTGATGGACATTTGGGTTGATTCCAAGTCTTTGCTATCGTGAATAGAGCTGCAATAAACATACGTGTGCATGTGTCTTTACAGCAGCATGATTTATAATCATTTGGGTATACCCCCAGTAATGGGATGGCTGGGTCAAATGGTACTTCTAGTTCTAGATCCTTGAGGAATCGCCACACTGTTTTCCACAATGGTTGAACTAGTTTACAGTCCTACCAACAGTGTAAAAGTGTTCCTATTTCTCCACATCCTCTTCAGCACCTGTTGTTTCCTGACTTTTTAATGATTGCCATTCTAACTGGTGTGAGATGGTATCTCATTGTGGTTTTGATTTGCATTTCTCTGATGGCGAGATGATCGTACCTTTCTACCCACTAACTCCCCTCATCCACCCAGCCTTCAACCTGGCAGCCCTAGATCTAAGGCCAGGCACACTGCTAGTTTAATCTCCATAGTGGCCTAATTACCTGCTGCCCATTGGCAATTGCTCACCCTTTTCCCAATCCTTTCTTTAGATGGGAATGGGGGTTTCAGGATTGACCTTCACACACCAAAGGATTGAACAGAAAGAGTGGCAGTCTATTAGTTCCTTGACTCAATAAAAGGAAATAGATTTGCTTCCTCAAGTCAAAGAGGTTTTGTAAAAACCAAATCTCAGCTAGTCCAATGCATTCACTTAGTTATTTCAGTAGCAAGTCAGTATTTCTCATTAGCTTCATCCTACAAATGCAGCCACGATAAGAAAGGAAATGTTATTTAAGTCTATGGACAAAGGAATGAGCCCAGACAGAGAAGAACACGAAGCCAAATCTGGTGTTTGACAAAGGTGAGAAAAGACTCAACCCTTCCCAGAAAATAAATTCGAGACATATTTATTGCCAAGATCCAAAGAAAAAAATTTATTTACAATAGAGAATTTTCTTTGAAACATGCATTTCTTGTGTTTTAAAAAACAAATCAGCAAATGCAGATCAAGTTTACACTCCTTAAGGCAAGAGTCCCTATGCACGCTGTACATGTTCATATTAAATCCAAAAGCTGCTCACCCTGGGAACTTGTGTACAAAGGGCAAGGCCAAGGTCAGCAATGTGTCTTTTATTAGAGAATCAGACAATCTCCCTGATACAGGAACTCTGAGGTCAACTTGCTATGAATTATACTAGGAAAATGCAAACCAATAGCAAGAAATTCTGATAGTCTCCTTAGTACTGCATACAATCAAATCAACTTTATTTAGAAAGGAAATACAGTAGTGCATACGAAAAAGTGAAAACAGAACCTGTCCATGGAACTGGAGGAACAGCAGTGTGCCGACGGTCATATTGCACGCAACAGTTAAGTCCAAAACATTCGGTTCAGAGTTAGCTCTTCCCCATTTTGGCAATCAGTTCATCACAAATCTTGGTGAGTTCTTCTATTTCTTTGTTCTGCAAGTGTAGACAAGAAAGAAGTTGCTGATGTTTGAAATCTGGCCAATCAGAATGCTCATGGGGCTTTTTGGGGAGATGGGGGTCCACCAGGCCCCCTTGGTCCCACTGAAGTTATCTAAAGCAGTGAGACAAATGACTTGGAGCCAAATGATCCAAGTATACATCCCGGCTCTAGCTGTGTGATCTTCCACAAGTTACACAACCTCTCTGAGCCTTGGTGTCTTTAACTCTAGAACGTAGGTGATAACATGTTTCTTTCTGAGAAGTACATGAGGTGATAAATGTACACTTTCCTGGCAGTGACCAGCACAGAGTGAAGGACTAACTAGTCTGGTTCATTTCCCTTTATCTGCCTATGAAGGATGTGATCTGAGGTGAGGAGGTCTGGGGTAAAGCCCTCCATGGTTTGAGACACAGCATAAGGAGGGTTACGCAGTTCTGTGTGAATGGGATCGCTTGCATTGCTTAGAGGCACGCCAAATAGGTGGTACTGGGGCTACAGGGTCAGCACGAGGGGTGGGGGCAGATGCAAGCTGGCTTTACGGTGATTCTCCCACCACACCTTGCCTGTCTAATCAAGGGAACCAACCACAGATTTGTCTAGCACAGATGATCCTACACTGTCCATCTTCTCAGAAAGTGAGGGAATCCAGCGGGACGATCCCTCCATCACGGACGGTGTGGCTTTGCTTTCAGATAGGTTACATACTGGCTCTGATGCTGATCAAGTTCCACAGCACAGGCCGGGCCTGTAATCCCAGCACTTCGCGAGGCCAAGGCGGGCAGATCATAAGGTCAGGAGATTGAGACCATCCTGGCTAACACGGGTCTTTAGAAACCCCATCTCTACTAAAAATACAAAAAATTAGCCAGGCATGGTGGCAGGCACCTGTAGTCCCAGCTACTCGGGAGGCTGAGGCAGGGGAATGGTGTGAATCCGGGAGGCGGCGCTTGCAGTGAGCCGAGATCGTGCCACTGCACTCCAGCCTGGGTGACAGAGTGAGACTCCGTTTCAAAAATAAAAAATAAAAAAATAAAGTTCAACAGCACAACCGATCTCCAATGGCCTTCTCCAGGGGGGCTGAATCGCTCCAGCATACTCGGGATGTTTTGCAGCCCGCTTTCCTTGAGATTCCCGTGGAAGGTGAGTCTTCACCAAAAGCCTGTGCCTGAGGCTGTGGAGAGCCCTTCCCTGAAAACCTCAGAACTCCTGAGATATGTTCCAGCCCAGACCCACATGCCCTCTGTTCCTAGAACTCCTGGTGTCACTCATCATCGTGTCAGTGCTGGGGAAACAGTGGCTCTCCTCAGTGGAGGGGAAGTTACGGTCCTTCCAGCAGCAGTCCCTGCTGTGGGAGAAGCCTGCCTCGAACACAACCCTGGCCCACCTCCTGGCTCGAATTTGCATCTGAGGTCAACAACTCAAGAGAGGCGCTGAAAGGTCAGCTGGACGATGGGGCTCTGAATGGGGTACAGCATTGACCACTAATCTTAAAATTACTATTATTGGCCGGGCACGGTGGCTCACGCCTGCAATCCCAGCACTTTGGGAGGCCAAGGCAGGTGGATTACCTGAGGTCAGGAGTTCAAGCCCAGCCTGGCCAACATGGTGAAACCCTGTCACTACTAAAAATACAAAAAATTAGCTGAGTGTAGTGGCACACACCTGTAATCCCAG